AGTGAGTTCCAAGCTAAATAAATAGCTATTATGGAAGCACATAGATCCCCAGCACTTTCTGGCATTCAAGAAACTATTTGTATCTTATCAGATATTCAAGCGGCACTCAGAGCTCTTGATGGATTTTCATCAAACTCTAGGACAGTGAATGACTGTCGCAGATTTCTTAACGAGATGGCAAAGCAGCATGACATCCACCTGATGTGGAGCCCGGCAGGTACTACCAACTCTTTCCTAACGAAGAAAGCACAAGTAGGCATTCTCTTAAGAATGTTTTTTTTTGTTTAATTGTTTCTTCTTATACATAGATTATTCTGTTATTATAAAGCAACTTAAAATAATGGGCTTTTGGGATCTGTTTGGGAACTCTTTAAGGTGAAATTGTTTTGGTCTTTTGGGTACACTTATACCTGCAATTGTGGGATCTCCTAGTAGATGCCTAACTAGTAAATTTGAGTGGTTTTAAAATTTTTCTTAGTATTTCTTAGCTTCATCTTTTAAAACATTCCCTTCTTTGGGCACCATCAGGTCCCAAGTTCGCTGTGCGATGTTCCATGGGGCCAATGATTCTAATCTTGTCCTAATTCGATTTTGCTGCTAAACCGTATACTTGCAGCTTATAACCCCATGAGGAAGCAATTACCGTTTTATGTATTAAAGCCTTGTTTAATTGTTCCAACTATTAAGAAGCTATCTTAGTTTCTTCAGATTTGTATTAATGGCACTGTAATGGGCACTATGTTTATTCGAAGGGTAAGCTTCTTGGCTAAATAAACCCCGAGATACGTATAACCTGCTACATGGGGCAGTTCTTGGACTAAAATCCAAGACAGGATTCCAGGACAGGATTCGCAGGGCGTAAGACTGGCACATTTGCTGGGGTCAATACCAATGTACCAATTTTTGACCCATTCTTCGAATCTATGAAAATATTCTTGCAGCGCATTTGTAGCTGCGAAAACGCATGTGTTTTCTTTCCGTTATTAAGTTCTGGTTATTTCGACTCGCAGGCATGTCATGTGTGGAGTAGTGGAGACAAGACCCTGAGGGACTCCTGCCCGTATTTCTTTAGTATTGGTCTCAGTGCCATCTACAATAGTTTTAAACGATCTTTTTTCTAAAAAACTTCACACCAAAAGCCAAAGGTGAGGTGGCAGAAGAGTCTTCAGATTATTTAGAAGCCAAGCGTGCCAAACTATATCGACGGCTTGCTTGTATCGAGATACGCAGCCACAATGTACTCCTTGACCTCAAATCCTTCCAGGATAAAGTTTCCCACCCTGTTCAGTAGTTCAAGCGATCCGAGTGATTGACGGAAACCAAACTGAAAGGGAGGTTTACTGTTCCTTATTTCTCTGATGACCAGTATTCAAGAATCAAAGCTACTTTTGAACAATTTAGCCATAGAGGGTATTAGGCTAATTGGTCTTTAGGAGTCTAGGCTGTATGAGTTCTTAACAGTTTTATGGACAATGCATATTCTGGCCTATTTCCATTGCTTACGAAAGTATTCCAGTACTAAAACGGCATTCAAAATAAGCACCAAGAAGATGATAGCTTTGAATTCTTGGTCTTTAGCGTGTCGCGTGGGGGTCGAGACTTCCTTAACCGCAATTGCTCGTACTGGACGACACGTTTGTCTGGGGCGGTATAATCCTTCTGGGACCTCATTTTGAGTAAAAGCTGGATAAAAATAAATCTCCTGGAAGCGACTTTGCAGGCCGTACATGGATGTATTTACTTTACAGTAAATTACGATCACAGATTTCTAAGGAATATGTTAATATCGAAATTAAGTTCCAACTGTCACAGAGTTACACTGTTAGTGTTACAAGTTACAGAGCTGTTTCCGTAATTGCAAAATTATTTTCCAAAATTCCCTTGCAAAAATATAACCCATAAGTCATTTACTTTATTTTATATCTAAGCTAATGTAAGCAATCAGTCACGAAAGATCGAGAATCAGAGGGAAGGCGAGAATATTGAAACAAAGATAAGCGAAGTGACCGAGAACGAAAGGAGAGAGTGAAAACGAGTCGGTCCCGAACAAGACGGCAAGTACAGGTGGGTGACCGATTATGTTGTAATTAAAATTTCCGTTGCGAAAAAGGCGCCCAAAAGATTCCCTAAAAATTTAAGTTTTGAACAATTTTTAAAAATGTATTCCTTAATGTGTCAATGTTTTTTTTTCTGGCAAAATAATAATGTTGTTGTTACCTTTATCTTTGGTATATCTTTTCCAACTGATTATTTAAAACGCGTTCATAATGATAGCTATTGTCCATGGATAGCGAAAAAAAGCTTTTAAATAAACTGTGTGCTTCGAAAAATGATGTTGTTTATCAAACCCTGAAGCAGCGGTGGGTCATAAGGGCTTTTAAATGGCTGTAAAGTTCGGGTTTGAATGCAAAAACGGCACCCACATTGTAACGGAGGATCCGCTATCTTGGTGCCGGCTCAGGTCGTGGCTCACTTCGATTGGACTCCTTCTGGCTCCCGCTGCTGGGTGTCTCTGCTCCGGTGCGCGTCGATGGTTCATGTTGTTGTTGCCGCTGCTCCGTAATCGTCGATGTCGGCTCTCGTTGCTGTTGTTTGTCATGCTCTGCAGGTGGTTCTACCTGCCAAAGCTACCTGCCGTGGTCGGAAATGGCCCAGCCCTGGGCCACGGAAACTATCCTGACACGGGTCCTTCTTCACTCGACTCACTTGTATACACTCTACGTCTCTGGGGCTGTTGGACTCTCCAGAGGCGCTCCTTCAGCTCAAACTAGCAGCTCTTTTAAGAAACGCTATAAAACTTGAAAATTTTACTCTCCAAAGGCAGTACTCTAACTCAACGCGACAAGCTTCTTCGCTTACTAAAAAGAATCATCCCGATTTTTCCCAATGTGGCTCCTTATATACTGCCTGGAGCGCCCGTTAACCCTACTGCATTCTGCTCCTGCCGTTAATCCAGCTTTCCAAAGTCACGCCACATTGTCGTTGGCGGGTCGTCATCCGTGCCCCCTCGCCTCTCCCGGCCACGGACCTCTTCTGCTCCCTCCCTCCTCCTTTGCTGCTGCTAGCCTAGCTACGCTGCCCCTCCAAGGACCGCTTCGTTCTACGTCCCGCCCGTTTCACGTTCCGCGTATAAATGGCGACCGGATTGAACTTTGGTTCCAAAGCAATTTTTTTTAAGTAAACACTAAGTACATAAAAGTATTTCCTCTTTTTATATTCTGTGAAAAGGTTACATAAGAAATTAAAATGCACAACGGTGCCAATTATAAAGGCATTTTTTGATAAATAAATTCCCTTTTAAATTCAACACTTTGCGAGGGGTAAAAAGGAGAGCTTTTGTATTAAAGAGTTGATAGCTTCTTAGCTGCGAAACGTTTTTGACTGCCACGAATTTGATACTTAAAATATTTCGGCAATTCCTACATTCCGGCTTTTGAATGTTTTAAACATATTTAATTTATAAAAAATAGGGACCTAGCTTAGTTCGATTTCTTTTTTTTTGCGCCATTTCGATAAAAAAAATTTGCAACATTAATTTACCGTCTTTCAGTCAGATGAAGAACAGTTATGTGACCAAAATTTTGTTTGACTGTCGGAGATTATACAAATAGGATCAATGTATCTCATGTAACGAAACTCTAAAGCGACATAGACTGAATATCTTAAACTAAGAGTAAAACACTTTTTTAGACCACCCATCTGTCATTGAAGAAATAAATGAAGGATAGTAGATACAATAGTTTGTTCCCCATGACGCTGATACAGGTTACAGCGAGTTTTTTCTAAAGCTAGATTCTCCCATATCAAAGCTTTCCGAGGTCTAACCCCCGGAGAGGGGGTGTAGCAGCAACGCTCGGCGTAGTCCATAGACTCGTTTACACATATAGCTGTCTGCATCGTATATTTTGATGGCTTTCCGCAATTTTCTTTGAAAGTTTGATTCAACAACAACACTTGCTGCAGGTGCAGCAGATCATATTTACCAGTGAGGTTCAGAATGATGGCGTAATGTCGTAATCCAAGGATGAGTTCTTTAGCTGCCTATCTACTCGAAGTAATTTAAACTGATCAAAAAAGGGGAACAACCAACCATCCCCTTCGCTGCAACGTACATATTTCATCCCACATATGAGTGCGCTGAATAGCCAACAGAATCATTCGAGTTCCACGTAGCGATCGCAAAAGGTAATTTCCTGATGATTGACCCATCTGCCAAATTTATAGACGTATGCAAACACTCGCTAAAGAGCTGGGAATGAGATATTATATTTGCATGAAGTTGAGTAAAATATTAAAGCTGTCTTTTTGATTACGATCGCCGCAGGCCGATACTACTGTGCTTTGTAAGATAAAGCGGATCTTCACACCATAAACAGGGTTCGATACGCTCAGGACTCCACGAAGGAGCCACGAAGGGCTCCCCGTGATAAAAGGTTACCTGTATTTTCCGATGTGGAATGAGTCAGGTTCTGATTAGTTGACTCGCGGTTGGAGAAACGTTAAACTTGGCCTTAAACTCATATTGAATCCAGGATAACGAAACTGACGAGTCGCACCAACAAATGTACATTCCTTTAAAAATGCCTAGACTGAGAACCTCTTTCATCATTCTCGCTTTCTTAGCGACACAGAAGCCATGAATCTCCGCGAGAGCTTATAAAATAAGCGCTAGCCGCGGAAGTCCTGCACGTTGATTGTGACTAAACCTCCAGCAGATCGCCAGCCATTCGGTGTAAAAAGCCTGAGTCAATATCTCATCCCAAGTAAGCTGATCCCAACACAGCATCTGAAAGTATATTTTTGCCTTAGTTATAAATGGACCATTTTGACCAACCGAATCGTACAATCGCGCTTTTTATGACAAGACCAAAGCAGTAAAAGAAAGCAGCAGCTAATCAGAGGAAGGATCCCCAGCTAGCCAAAAGACTCCCGTTCCTCCTTAGGCACTCTAACCAATACACTTGGGATATTGGGGCACCACTTCCGCAGCCGAAACTCACCTCTACGCAGGAGCGCTGAAATTGCGACCAGAAAGAAACTCACTCGCTGTCACTGGAAAATCTTCGACCTCGTCCTTAGCCAATTCATGGATCGCTTGTACAGGTACATACAAAGCCGGCTTTTGTTCCATTTGGGCGCACTGCTTTTTAGAAGCCGTCTACCAGTTACTAATTTTTAAAACTATTGTTTTGTTGTTTTTTTATTTCTGGAATGTTGGAATAAATATAAAATTTTGTTAATTTATAGTTCAAGAATGAAATTTAATTTTTTTAAATAGGATAGTTTTAAGACAGTGGTGGGCAAACTCTCAATTTCCATAACAAGTGTGGATAAGGTGGATAAGGTGTGAAAATTTTGTTGGAATAAATTTTCCCCTTTGAAAAAATATGAAGGGAAGCGTAGATTTCCATTTGTTACTGAACTGTTGCTATATGTTTTCTATAAAGCTTCCTTTAATATAAAATTCCCTATTTTAGTGACCATTCAAACTTTTGAATTAACGAAAAATAAAATAAAAAAATTCGTTTTTTTCGCTCAGTAAATGCTCTGCTTTTATTGTTTTTTGCTGCTTACGCACACACTCAAATTTTAAAAATGTATGCCTCTTGCCCACCACAGTTTTAAACAAATCCAACCCACTCTCAATGATTTTACTTTTCTCTAGTCTTTCTAATAAAATTAAAAAAAAAAAGTTTGAAAAAATTTTGGAAATAGATCAGAAAATGGCCGGATCAGAGGGCGCAGATAAATTTTTAAACTTTAGCAGAGGAGGAAAATATCGCTTTTCGCTTACTGTTAACAAAGGTTTAATAATTCTTCGGATCCTGAGCAAACTGAATCTAGCACCGGCGAAAATAACATCCAGAGCTATAAACGGTAAAATTTAACCAAGGTAGCAGATATCTTGAAAAATCTATACTAATGCAAGTTTTTTTATATTAAAGTAAAAACCTGTTTTTAGTGTTTTTTTTTTTTTAATTTGTGAGGAACCTTGTAAGCCAACGAGGATTTGTTGATGCGGACGGATATTTAAATAGCACACATGAGTTAAAAAATATATACCAAGTATGGTAAAAGGTTTTTCAGGTGACATTTTCATCTCTGCATGGCAGAATATCGGACCAATCAAATGCACTATGGGGAATTCGACCAGTTTTTGTGACAAAAACCAATTTTCACAGCTGTTGCATTTGCAAAGCACAGGTGACATTAAGTTTTGTTTACAAAGTTTGAGCGGGCAGAAGTAAAAAGTTGAACAATATTACATGAATTTTTGACATGAATAGCAATCTTTGTGATTTATATTATATTATGTGATCGTCATTTGTAGAATATAATCGTGTTGTCCCCGTAATAGAACAATAATATAAGCAGCCTTGTCAATGCATATTTTGGATAAAGTCTCATGTTTCATAAGGCATTTAAAGTACATAAGTCCAGAAGAGTCCATCTACGAAACGTATTGTATGTTGTAGAATATTAAATTCTTGTTACAATAAATGTAATTTAAAATACCACTTTTTTCGATTTTGCAAGAATTTTTTATTTTTAGGACCAAAGCTCAATTTGGCAAACACAGATTTTTTTGCAAAGTGCTATGAAGCAAAGGGAAAAGTCGCCAAGCAGAATGATGTCTTTCATTTTATTAAAGGTTCCATCTCAGGAGTGAATTTTGAAGAGTACAGCGATATCGTAGACCAAGCAAGTAAAAAATTTTGGTACCGCTTGACGCCAATGGGGAAGAGGTGCTCTTCTGATTTAAGTCAGTTGCGCCGGAATCATGCAGTTTGGCTGAATTCAAAAACTGTTATAAATTTTCCGAAAACCAAGAAGCCAGTAGGTCTGCCAACACTGCCTTTTCATGCGAATGGCAATATATCTCGCAGAAGGCACACAGCAGAATCTTTTAGTCTAGACGTATTTCAGCGAGCTATAGATACTTCTGATCCGATCATTTCGCCAGTGAATTTGGATTTTGATTTTACAGGGACAGAAAAATACGCGTCTTCCATAAGAGGTTTTGGACCTATTAGAGGGCTCATCAAATCCCGATGACACCATGGTGGGTGAAGATAAAAGCTCTTTTGATATTCTGCATTTTGAACATCAATATAATATTGAGTTGGAGAACGAAGAGCTGGACTGTTTCTAAGAGGTGTGTAGGGAAAGTATATGTCTTCTACAAGTATACATTATTAACTGTCTTTCATAAAACTGTAAAACATTGTTAAAGGCTTGCCACGCCCACTATTTTCTATGTAACAAAAAACTGTTACAGAACTAGTTAATTAGCTATCTAAATATCTGCAGAAATTTACAGTAGCTAACAAAAAAAAGGGGCGGTGCCACGCCCTCTATTTTTCTATTGGTACAAGATATAACCAAAAAAATATATAAAAATATATATATATAAAAAAAAATATATTTGGGTCAATATAACCCAAAAAAACAGAAGTTAAATATCTTGCTCCGATATTGAGTTATTAATTTATGTCAAAAACTCCCCATAGTGAAAAAGGTTTCAAAAACAATGTACCTTAATCCACTGTACCAACTACAGACAAAGTGGAGGCTTTGAAAAGAGCGGTTTAAGTAGGAAGTCATTATTATTGTTGGGTCAGGCAACAGCCAGGCTTTTACTGTTTATGTTTAAATAATGTTTATGTAATGTGCAATGTTAAGTGTAATGTTTATTTATTTGGCTTAAGTTTGTACAAAAGCTTAGTTGATCGCAAGCCGACTCTCTCTCGGCCACTCGACTCAACGGGCTGTCTTTAGAGAGTTTCAGCTCGGCAATGTCTAGGTCGGGCCGCCCTCTCCATTTTCGAGAGCTTTAGCTCAAGGTGACTTGTCGGTCCGCCCTCTCTGTGTATTTACTTGAGTCCATGCATGCACCATAAGCTGGTCTATCGTCTGATCATCCGGCTTCATCTACATGCAGGAATAAACATTAACCCTCAATGACCAAACAATTACCATTATTAGTATATTTTAATTTTCTCTATTATTTAAATGTCCGAAAACGTAGTTATTTTGTTGAACAAAGTCGTGATAATGCACTGCCCGACATGTGGGAGCTATCCTTAGACATCGGTACATTTTACAAATGTCGCCATGCAGCGCTACTAGGACGATGAGCAGTCATTGAGCTGAAAGAAAATGTAATTCAATGAATATCCTAAGATGGGCGCAGCGGACCCATCAAACACCACAATAAAATTTTTCGTTTGCTATCCTACTTTGGCATACAGTGATGTGGCTGAAAAAATTATCAATCTCGATGCAACTCTGGTGGAACAAGGAATATGTAGCCTAGGTTAAGAGGTTCAGATACTTGCTTATGGTTGAATACAGAGGGCGGCTCGGGCAGATCCAAAGACTGAAAACGACGCAGAGCATGTAAATACGAATCGCTGCGGTGTAGGCAGCTATGTTTAATTGGCAACCTGACTAAATAAGTCTCTCTAACAAAAAAAATGTTTGGGGAAAGTGACTTTTGCAATCCAGTTCTTCCTTAAGGACCAGTCGGATCGGATCGGATCCAATCGGATTCACAATCGGATCGGTGCAGTTCTCCACTTCTTACAACTGGCGAAGAATTAAATTTATCAGCTCATCCCAAATACTTTGGGGTTGACTAGTCGCGACCGCTCAGCTATCATAAGGACCTTCCTATTTTCAAGGATTGAGGAACAACCAGGATTTGGCAGCTAATTTTACAAAATAGTCAAAGCTATGGGTTTGCTAGTAAGCTTTTACAGAAAACTCATCTTTGGAGAACCCAGTGTGGCCTATAGCAGATTCAGAAACCTGAGACGGTTTCTTCCAAAGCTGCAACTGGTTCATCAGGTAAGAAGCACCATATCACCATATCACATTACATTAATCCAGCTACTTTTCTTCGCCTAATTGATCCTCATGTTTCATTTACAATTCATTTCATAATTGATCCTCATTTACAAATCTGGAGCAAAAACGACATCTCTGCTTGAGGAAGGCTGCGATGGACCACGATGGGATTCAATCCAACGAATCCATTTGCACTGCATGGCACCATTCTGGCAAAAAAACATATAGAATTATGCAGCTGGTTGTTAGCTTAGTTGCACCCATTCTAGCCCGGGCTCGCATATGCGAATTAATTTATCAGAGAGCTTGCGCGATAGAGCACAGTAAGCTGAATTCAAGCAACTTCAAATAACCTTCAGTCAGAAATGGCAAACCCGGGAAGTCCTACCAAATGACGCATCAAAATTGGTAGCTAAAGAAGCGTTAACAAGCATAGAGCTTGTAGGTAACAAGCAATAGCGCTGAATAATATTCTGGTCTAGGATAAAACGTTTTAACCTCGCCGTATCGTTGAAGTTGACGCGCAGATCGAATCAGCTTTTTTTTCGGCAAAGCCTCTACTGCCTATATTAAAAAAGCAGGCTGCGAATAACGGATTCAATATACTCCCCAATATAATATATTCCCCCGCACAAATCACAACTAAATAAATTGGTTATCAATGTTTATAATATAAGCTTTATATACTTTTAAGCTTAAATTTTGAAGCTGGCAAACTGTCAAAACTCATCTGCGGAAATCGACTGACATTAAGAAATGGAACGCTAACGGCCTGATGAAAAGCGGTGGCTAGCGGTGGAACTTTACTGCATATTCTCCGATATTCTCCTCATATCGGAAACACACTTTACCAACAGGTCCTACCTGACCTTAAGAGGATACGCTCTCATTGTCGCCAACCACCCAAACGGAAGAGGTCGCGAGGGCGCGGCCATCCTCATCCGCTGCAGCATCAAGGGTTATGCAGCCTCCGCTGGCATACTGGAATGCAAGCCATTAGAGAGGACTGGATGTAATGCGCTCAAATTCAAGTAGCCACCACCAATGAAGACATCACCATGCTGCTGCCTTCTGCCCCCCAGACACAATATTAGCGACGTTGACTTCGGGATCCTCATTGGCGGGGACTTTAATGCCAAGCACCCCTCGTGGGGCTCTAGAATTAGGAACCCAAAAGAAACTGATCCAACTGTCTAGTCCTGGATAAGCTCTAACACGAACCCCAACACAATACTGGAATTTCCCGACCAGATAGAAGCCGTCGAGAAGCTAACCGCACAAATCCAGGATGTTGCAGCAGAAGCAGCTCCAAGGCTATCCAACCGCCCGAGAGCCACTGACAGGGACATATACTTT